TCGGGTCTCCACTGTCCTGGGCCCCCGATCTGTTTCACTCGCGATGGCTCTGACCAGGTTTGTTGCCGCCTCCTGTGTTGTAGGCAGCATAGAGTTGGCCAGTCGTTGACTTGGTGCAGCATTCCCCGCAAGGTTTCAATCGCGAGGTACCTGTCCGGGAGCTGTTCAAGCTGCTCTGCTGTGGGAGTGTCGACCAGCAGGTCTCTGAGTGCTGTTTCTGCCGTCCGCGCGATCACGTTGCCCTTTCCGCGAGTCGTTGTATCTCTATGAGATTTTGTTCGACACCTTCCCAGGATGTCTGTCTGGGTCGTCATGGGTCAGAACTCGAGCTGGACTGAGCCTGAGGCTGTCCCCTGTATGACGGCATTGGTGCTTGCTGAACTATTTCTATGTCGCTGTCACTGGCGGCTGCGGCTGCGGCTGCTGCTGCTGCTGCTGCTGCTGCTGCTGCTGCAGTCTGTTCCCCTTCCTCGGGAAGGTGTTGGGTTTGGTGTGGTTGGTGTCTGGTTGAGTGTGGCTTCCGGTGCTTGGTCCAAGGATGGAAGGGGGGGCTGCTGCTTGATGGGTGCGCCGGGCTTGTGAGTTTGCACGAGACTGTTGCTGTCGTCGTGTTCGTTTTTGGCTTCTCCAGTTGCATCTAGTTTGTCGGGTCGTGGCTGTGGCTCATAAGGTGCAAGGGCTGGGTTTGGTTCTGGCCGTTGTGTTGGGTCGCTGCCACAGCGTCTCTGTCTTTTTCCAAGGTTACGTCCATCTCGCAGCAGTTCGGTCAAGGGAGTGGCTGCTGCAGGAGGTTGCTGCGGTTGTGCTGGCTGTGGTAGACGGTCTTGCTGCGTGCGGGGTTCTGTAAGACGTCCATGGTTGGTTGCGTTGCATCGGCTGTAGCCGCCCCCTTTTTCAGAGGTCCTGCTTCTCTGTTTTTTGAGGCTGGATAGTAGCTGCGTGCTGCTTCATGGGACGAGCTGGACATCGCTGGTATGCTGGTGTCTCTCCCCCGGTACGGGTCAAAAGCTGCTGTGTGCGGGGGGTCCCGGGTGGAAGGCATGTCGGTGGGGTTGCTTGGTTCCGTTGGGGGAGTGGTCTCTTCGGTGTCAACTTCCGCAATGGGTGAAAGCCCTGGCGGCTTTGCGACTGCAGGCTTGCTATTGCTTCTTGTTGGCTTGTTCTGGGCGGGGCTTCCAGGGGCTTGTTGTTGCTGAAGCCTGTCTTCCTTGCGACGCTGACGGAGCTTGGTGACAGAGGCGTGGCAGTCGGGGTCGAGATACTCGACTCGCACGACCCAGCCATCTTGTTTCCGCTCAAACAATAATTTCTGTCCCGTGGACAATTGAGCGAGCCTCATAGCTCCTTGGCGGGGGTGCCACCTGGATTGTTAGTAGCCAATGATTCGGGGTCATTGGCGAAAAGATTGCCTCCAGCCCAGTTGGCAGGGGAGGGGCTGTGATCACTGTTCCTGCACCCCCCTCCCAGACTGGACGGGGGAATCTCCGCGATTGTTTGAATGTCCACTCCTCTTCCGTCTCTGCCTCTCTCCCGCTCTCCATCTTCTTCCCCTCTACCCTCTCCTTCTCCCCGATAAAGCAATCCTTGCTTGCTTTCTGGAGGGCTGCGGTTCGGCCCGCGGCCGAGCTTTCCTGTTCATTGCTCCCTGTAACGCCAGAGTTGTTTATCCGCAGATATGGGCGGGGTCCTTCTAATCAGGGCCTCCGCAGCTTCCCTTTTTGTGTTGTCGATAAAGAAATCCTTACTTTGTGGAGGCCTGCGGTTTGGCCGGCAGCAAAGCTTTCCTTGCCATTGATTGCTCTTCCAAGCCCAAAGCCATTGTGCAGAGTTTGCATGAAAATTTCTTCCAAACCCACAACCCACAGCCGCATCCGACCCTTCAAATCAGGCCTCCGCAGCTTTCCCTTTTTTCTTGTGGAGTAAGCCACCGAAAGGGGATAGCCTGGCAGAACTTCTGAAATCGCATTCTTTTAGATGCCGTTGATAAAAGAATCCTTACTTTCTGGCGGCGTGCCGTTCGGCCGGCAGCAGAGCTTTGCTTGTCTTGCTGTTTGCAAAGTCAGAACCGCATGCAAAGCTTTCCTATGACTGCTTCTTGCAAACCCAGAGCCACTTCCGACCTTGTAATCAGGCCCCCGCAGCTTCCCTGTTCATTTGTCGAGAAAGCCGAGTAAGCCAGCTTAAAAGGACAGCGTCGCAGAACTTCTCAAACATCATTCTTTAAGAAGCTTTTGAGGGGTACATTAGGGCTCCAGGGAGCGATCCCGTGTAATTGGATTCCTACGGGCGATCCTGTCTAATCAGGGGGGGTCATCTGAACCTAGAAGCCTTATTAAGGGCACATAAAATGTCATAAATCATAAAAACTGTGGGCTGGCAAGCTTGAAGCTCTAGTGGGGGCTGACTGAAAATTGTAAGGGATTCGTAGAATGGGACTCTGGCGGCAGTCCCGTCTAATTGGGGGTTTAGACCGAAGCACGCAGGAAAGCTGGGCTCACTTCTTTTCTAGCAGCTCAAGGCGTTTGTGAGTTCGAGAGGCATGTCGCGGCAATCGGAGCAGCTGTACAGAACAATCAAACGATGCACCGCAAGACAGAAAGCTTAGACAATCTCAGGCTCTTTCGAACTAGTTCCACATCCATCAGGGGGTGCATCTGAGATTGTCTCCAAAATGACCTTGAGAGGTTCAGGCTGGAGTGCGTAAACTCCACCAGTCATGACCTTCCTCATCAAGGAAGAGTTCCCGACTCTTTTCGTCAGGCAATCGGCCAACATGTAGGCACCAGGGATCCAGTGCACCGGAGCATTGAGCGAAGACGCCGATGAGGCCATGACACACACATCGATCTGTGCCCTTCTGCACAATCCAGCTGCCCCGCTCCGGCGATGAAACAGGTCGTAGAGGGCTCGGGCATCCGTGATCAGGATGCTCTCCTGGTCGTCCTGGGAATGCGCCACGATCACTGAGTCCAGGTCAGGGCCAAACCTGCTGCCGTCGCAGGTTGTTGAGAATCTGGAATACAGGACTCAACATACATCGCACGTAGCCATTCAAGTTCTGATAGTCCATCGTCCATGGCCAGAGCTTCAGAACCCAGGGACGCCTTAACTACTCGTCGAAGACGATGTGAACGCAAGGAGTTCAGGCTGAATCGAGCCAGAGCTCCATGCTTGATGGAGCTCTCGAAGGCCTGCTCCAGCTTAGCATCACGAAGATAGTCATGAGCGTCCTCAATGATCTTCACAACCAATTCATATCCTGTATCACTTGTGATGTCTTCCACGCTCAGGTGAGCCGTCAGAGCCGCAAGACGGCTCCCAAAGGGGATCCCATCTAGACGGTACTTGGTCTCGGGCATCTCGCCGTCCCACGTCGGCGCTGCCTCCATCCTGAAGTCCACGAACTTCCGGGGTCCATCCGCGGTAGCTGCGCCGTCGGCTGCGGCGCGAGGTGATCCATTCCTTCTCGGAAACAAGGGAGACGTCGCACCTCGAGGAGATGCTACACCAGGTTGGCTCGGCACAGCCTGCTCGCCAACATCCAACGGTTCTTCCGACGGTGGAGCCGGCATTCTCAAAACTCTGCTGCTCTCTCACAGCACAAGGAAAAGCTCAGTACTAGTTGCCAAGAAAAGGGGTTCGAGCAAGCAGCCACCAAAGACTCTCGCCCAAAGCTTGGCCCAAAAGCGGCCAGCAAGGTGTAGATCACGAGGTCGCCGTTCAGGAAAGACAAGGTCGTGTACTCCCGGATCGGGTAAAGGAGGGGCTCGGCGAGGCACCGCCGCGGGACGCAGTCTGGAAAACCTTGGTCGTCACCACGGCTCCGCTGCCATGTAGACCGAAGCACGCAGGAAAGCTGGGCTCACTTCTTTTCTAGCAGCTCAAGGCGCCTGTGAGTTCGAGAGGCATGTCGCGGCAATCGGAGCAGCTGTGCAGAACAATCAAACGATGCACCGCAAGACAGAAAGCTTAGACAATCTCAGGCTCTTTCGAACTAGTTCCACATTCTTATTGAGGGGCAAGTTAAAACTCAATAGGTTTTTGGGTCTGAAGGGGCGATCCACTCTAATCGGTTTTGATTTATGAGCCTTATTGGGAGGTTAAATTAAAGTTCTGTAAATCTGACTCACGAGCCCGAAACGGTCCTGCTTAATCCAGGGGGGTTTGTTAATCAGTTTCCTACATTATGCGTCCAACAAACCAAAACTAACGAAGGGTGCTGCAACCCGACGCTCGCTTCCCACCTAGCCTTCGCACCACTGCTGGGTAGCCTTTACTTCGTTTGGGCTACCCGCTGTATTAGGCTTGAATGCCGAGTAAACACAATCCCTCAAGTATTGTGAATCCCGCTTTGGCTCAGCGAAGCAATGTTGTTTCTTCCTAGCCCTCGATGCTCTGTTAGATACTGCAGTTCCAAGCCGTCCCTTGCATCCTTGAAGAACATCAATGTCTACTGTGGTTTACGGTTGAGTCTGCGATCCATCAGACGCATGCCACCCTTTTCCATTCTACACAGAATGAAGTCGCGACACCACATGGTCACGCGGGAACGCGATAAGTTACAGTACACCAGGGGGTGTGAAGTCACACCACGAGCATAGCTGTATGCTTTCCCCATGGCCACGCGCTTCCTAGCACATTCCCGGTACAGACGTCAACTTAGGATTGCGAGTGCCACGTGCAGGCTTTCTTAGGAAATTACTGTATTACTGTCTCGGAGCCTTGAAAAGTCTGCCGATCATGGCAACTGATCACCATGTGCACTCGCTTTCAGACATGTATGGTGTTTTGTGGATTTCGTTTGTTTGTGTATTAGTTCTCCCAATGTTTCTGTTGCGTTTTCAACAGAACAGTAGTCACCGATTGCCGGGACTTGTTCAGAATGGCTTCCCCCCAGTGTCCACGCACAAAGGTATGACTTCACAAAGCGCGGTACGACTTAACACAACCCTTTGTACCAGATTAGACCATGTGAGTGGCATCCCACCGATGGCTACTGCCTTGAACGTGATCACGGAGGAGTGCCCGAAGAACAGCGTCGCAGTCTTAGCCCATGCAGTCTCCGAAGCGTCAAAATTGTTGTCACGCTGACGCTCTGGGCAATGGACAACGACCAGGAGCAGGAACGATCCTTACACGCGTGGACGAACTGCTCCGGGCAAGGGCAAAAGCGCAAGCATCAGCATCTGCCGAGGTTCTGTAGTTACCCAATCCCACACAATTTCCTGCACAGACATATTTCAGAAGTCTTGAGCTACAAGCCGCTGATGGCACAGTGCCTAACCACGTACAATGATGATCGAAGCGAAAGACCTTGGCTGGCTCTTGATTGCGTGTGCTCCAGCTGAAGCTCTTTCGTTCTCTCTCCCCGCCTACAAGCGCTCAGCGGAGGGCACCAGCTTAATCTCCTCTCTTTCTCTGCGGGTCAGAAGTAGAGTGCTCTACTCTTGCCGTCAAAGGACTCTCTCGCCATTTATGCAATGTGTGCATGTATTCCTCTTCCTCTCTTGACCCCTTCCTTCCGTCTGCACGGTCTGAGTCCAGCGCGTTAGCCCTCATTGGCGCTGTACGACGAACGTTAGCCCGCATCGCGGCCTGCCCTTTGACCGCTCAGTACGCTCCGATGCTCAACTGCAGTGCTCGGTCCAGCTACTCCCTGACGATTGCAGCAGCAAGGACTAAATATACGATCGCCAAACTGTCTGAGCTTCGGGTCCGTGTCACCACGCGGCCAGTTCAAGTTGCGGATTGTGGGTCTCGCTTCTAGTTGGTTCTGCAACATGCAGCAGTCAGACGCCTTGATTGAAAGCATCGAAGCTATGCAATCAATCCACTTTCCTGCTTGGAGACACCCCCGCCACGAGTTCCTCGAGACACTCGGCTCGGCACTGGCTGGCTACCGTTAAGGAATAGCCTGACTTGACTGGGAAAACGAAGCCCCGCCGTCAGAGTTTCCTGGCCCAGTGTCCGGGTCACAGCCATGGACTTTTCAAGCCGACAAGGCCGAGGCAGTTCACTAGGCTCTGCCGGCTCTGCGTGCACAGCGGCTCCGAGGTCCGCTGTGTTGGAGTTCCCCCTCGAAGTCAAGTGTACACGCTACCCCGTGGGTTCTCAAATAGCTCGAGCGCAAACTGACATGCACAACCAGCGGAAGAGAACTGGGGATCAGGCGCTTCATAGTAACAAAGCTGGTCAACCGAATTTGTATCCTTCCCCTGTTTTCCTGCATTCTCTTGTCACATGGCGAGGGCTTGTAGTTGTGACACCATGCGCTTCGGGCACCAGAACAATCTCGCAACAACAACATGGGCTCACAGCTCACGGCTGGTTCCCTTCGTATCGCACGCCCGTGAGGTAGTGCTAGGGTCAAAAGGCTCTCAAGATATTTGCCACCTGCCTGCTCTCTCTCGTTCTCTCACTCCTTGTCGGTCTCCCTTGCTGTGTTCAAGGGAGGTCTTGTTGCAGCCATGCGGCGCATCGATCGCAATAAGAGCAATGCTTCGAGCGCAGAGGTCTATAAACCCTGGCACATTTTGACTAGTTGGTCATGACCAGGTGGTCAGATGTTGTCAGCGAGGCCGCCTGCAAGTGCTGCACCACCTCTGCTTCACCTGCACGCCATTTACCACCAGAAACCTCCAGGAAAGAGAATGGAGAAATCTTAGAAAAAATCTAGGGACAACATCCGTCAATCTCGCGCCTTGCTGGGCAAGAAGCAGGTGCTGTGTCGGAGGCACGCGGAACCTCAGGACGCCAAGGAGTCTTCACGTTACCCGCTAAAGGGTACAGTAACACTTCACTTGGGTGCTTGTCACCTCATGTCACCCGCCTCCTTGCCAAGGCAGGATGCATTGTGTGAAGCTGTCTTCACAAACCATCCACACAGGGCTTTTCATCACGCTCAAGCCTGCCAACCGATAGAAAACCCTGATAAGGCACTGGCAACTCCAGGATTCCTCAACACAGAGCATTGCGAAAGAATTTCTCCGAAACAATGATTCTTGCAGTCCTGCAGGCGGCCGCACCCAGCGCGAAGAGACCTGAGTTGCCCCCCAACTGAAAGCGCAGAAAATAAGTGCTGCTCGTCGTAATTAGGCACGCGGGTTCGGTGAAGAAGTACTCTCTACCCATGGCTAAAATGTCGTTGCACATCGAGCATGTCTTGGCAGAACAATGTTGAGACTGTCTAAAACTGTCTTGACATACTGCCCCATGCATCCCATCCAGAACGGCGGGCGTCATGGCATGCGGGATCAGTCTCGGATGGCTCGGGTGGTGTTGTCCAGGCTTGTTTTTTGCGTGCCGACATTTCCACTCTGCTTCTTGCAAGGAACGAAACCCCTGCAAATATCTAGGTTTTGGTGCCTCTATGTAGGCGACGCCTCGGTGTGCATCCAGGTGCGATAAGGTCGCCATTTAAGCACCGGTCTGGTGCGCAACATGCACATCAGCTGCAAGGTTTTGGGGGTCTGTTTGGGGGTCAAGGGTCGGAGCAAAAAACTTGCCGAGTCAAAGAATTTGTTTGGATCCTCCGCTTTTTGTTGGGGGGGGTCCGGAACGAAGGAGCCAATCTCCATGAGTTCAGAGCCGTCCGTTTCCAGGTAGATCGCAGCGGCCTCCTGCATCTGCACCTGAAGCGCTTGCACGAGGTCGTCGAAGAACTCCGCCGGGTCCACAGCAGCAGGTGCAGGAGGTTGCTCGGGAACACCTTGAAGAAGGAGACACTCTTCACACCAGTCATGAGGAGGTCGGAGTCCTGCGCGAAGGTGCTCTGTGCTTTCGCAAGCCCAAAGCAAGTGAGCCCGCGAAGGCTTCAACTGTCCACGCGCTCACCAAAATGGCCGCCAGCATTGAAGTGCCAGCACAGCGCCAAGGCCGAAGGCCTTGTGAAAGCCACCAAGGAAGTAGTCGAAGTCACAGCTTAGGCGAGGAAGGTCCAGCCCCGTAGCCAGGTCCTCAGCGTCACGGTGAAGACGAACTTGCACGCGGGACTTCCCCCCCAACTGCCTCCTCCGTCCTCGGGCAGATGAGAAGTTGGCCCGGGAGAGTGAGCCTGATGACTTGGACAAGGTCAGTGGCGGTTGGTACCCAGCGATTGCAGTCGAAGAGCAGGCGGCTGCCTCGTGGCTTGCCAAAGTGGACTGCCACCGAGGGCCCGAACATTGCTGCAGTGGATGCTGTGTTGTCTGAGGTTCCGCGGCCTCCGCCGACGAACATGCGCTATGAGCTCCTCCTGGCCGGCCATTGATCGCGGCTTGGCTCAGCTGGCTGCCGCCCTGTCTCACATCTGGGCGATCTACGTTGCTTGCGGGCACCATGCCCGTGCGGTGAGTGCCTTGGCCTACATCGATGACAGGACTGACGGTGTGATTTCGGGCTGGACACCCATTGGGTGCTTTGTTTGCCCTTGATAAGTGTGCCTTGGTTCCGCGAAGCCCTTCGCAGGACCACGTGGCTACGGCTAGTGAGCTGGGTTTCAGGGTGATTGGATTTTGCTGGAGTACCAGACCCGACAGGCTGTGCTGAGAGCGAGGCTGCTGGGTTGGGTCACGAGGAGCCCTTCCATTCAGAAGCAATTGTTTGTTTCTTTGGTGGTCCTGCGCGCAGTGTGGCGGTTTTTGTCTTTTCGAGCTGCTCCGCTGCAACCTTCACCCTGACATTGCATGCGATCTTGGCACGTTGCGTGTGTTGGTGAAAACAAGCATCCAGCCGCCCCGATGGCTGGACACTGTGCCTTTGCGTGAAGCCAGGTTTCGTTGGAATGTCATGATCCCAAACGCCCCTCCTTTGCTGCATGCCGAGGCTTCGTTGGCCTGTGGGCATGGCTGGTGCTGAGCTTTGTCGACATGATCGTGCAGGCCGACTTCGTGTGCATCGTCCTGGCTTTGACGGTTTTCAAGTTGTCTTTCAGTGGCTTCGGCCGTTGCCCTGCCTTGCCGGCTTGCCTTGCACCGCCGCTTGCCTCCGCTTCCGTAGCGTAGGCCCCTATAGTTCGGTACATAAAGCATTGGATTCTGCATGGCGACACATTCAATCGGTTGAAGCCCACTGTGAAGCCTTAGAAATGGTGCAACAGGATCTCATTGGATTCTTCAACTCTGTGCCACATGCCAGGATTTTGCAAGCTTTGGAACTACTCATATGGAGACTTGAAGAACTTTTTCGACACAATGTGGAAGATATTGTCTTTCAGGTGGACATGAAAGCTGGTACCAAAGGCCTACGAATTTTCAGAGGTCAGCAACGTTTTCGTCAATCTGTCACAAGATTGTTGCGACTCTGTCATGTCCAGGAATTGACAACATTTCTACTCAGGTCCGCCTACTTCAAAGTAGGACAAGACACTTTTCGTCAGATTCAAGGTGCAAGCATGGGATCACCATTGGCTCCAGTTCTTTGTTCTTTGGTGGCTGCAGAACAGGAATTTCTGTTGATTCGTAGCTTTCGACAACAACTTCACGCTGCAGGCTTACTTCGAGCATTCAGGTATGCTGATAATCGATGTTTCTTCCTTCGCCAGTCAGAGATGCACACAGACTGGGCGACTATGACTTGCAGTTGGCTTTCTACGGCTTGCCTATCGAGCTTGAACATGTGCCAGGAGAACAGCTGTCAGGGTCGATCACCTCGACGATACAAGGTACCATCACTATGCAGCAGCAGCACCAAGTGATATCACACTTCTTCGTTCCATGAGATCCGTAGGCCCTACTTCGGCAGCGATTTCTGGATTTAAGGCACGAGCGTTGACAATCGCTCGGCAGACTCGACCCAGGAGATTAATTCGACCGCAGGTGGAAGACTTAATTGCACTCTACTTACGAAGAGGTTTTCCACTTGATGATCTGCGTGACCAGACCCGCAGACTCAGGATTTGAAAACCAAGGGTGCCTTTTCCCGACGCTTTGTGCACCTGTTCAGGTTATTCATGTCTTGTTCGGCCTGCTGACAGGTCAGTTTCATGAGCAACCTGCATTATCAGTCACCCGAAGCATAGTTCAGGTCCAGCTAAAACCGTCTAGCTTAGATTGCAGTTGCTGTTCACAGAGATGGATCAGCAAATGATGAATGACACTCGTTGGCGAATCGACCGCGCCTCCACGGCACAGCTGTTGGAACTTCTGTGGCAAATATGGGATCGACTCAATCGTCGTTTCAGGTTCATGGACGGTCCCATCAGATGTCACCGACAATGCGAGAGTTGCTTGAACCGCTGTT